CGCCGCGGCGGGGTCTCCCGGCGGCGGGGTCTCCGCCCTCCGCGTGGGGAGGGACAGCGCCCGGGGAAGGTCCGGGAGGGATGGGACGGCCAACAGGAGTGCTTAAAGCTGGGCGTGGTGGTGCACTCCGGAGGCTGAGGCGGGAGGATTGCGAGTTCCAGGCCATCCTGGGCTACGCAGTGAGTTTAAGGCCAAGCTAGAGTACCTAGCAAGACCCTGTCTCAGAAAACCAGAAGAAAAAAATGCTTCAAATAACATCATCCCTGGTATTGATGTAGTGAACAAGTAATATTTAAATAGTGCTTATAACATATTAGGCATCCCCTAAATTCTTGGAATGATGCAGCCTTTAAAGTCCATTAAGGTAGCTTTTGTCGTCTCTCTCTTTTTTTTTTTTTAATTAACAGCTGGGGAAACTGAAACTCGAAGCAGTGACTCACCTTGCGTCTGATTAGCATTTCAGACTTTTACGTCCATAACACCTCCATCCACTCTTCCCCTCCCCAGCCAGAAAACAGCAACAAAAACTGTCCCTTGTCGGGGAGGGAGGGCGCTCTTCCCCGAGGGTTCCGGTCATTGAGTCTGTGAAATACACCAGACAGAGAACAGGACAAAAAGCTTTTCGTTAGGAGTGCATGCGAGGGAGTCCCGCAAAATAGCCTGGAAGAAGCTGGCTGGCTGGAGTCTGCGCGCCTTGTACCGGGGGAAACCTTGTGGGTTTAGGTGATGGCTTTCGCTCCAGTCTTTGGTCAGATCAGGGAACTTCGGAGAAAGCCCCTCGCTGCGTTTGCGTTCCTGAAGTGCTCGGTCCGGAGGAACCAGCGCGCACCGAGAGCGCGTTTCAGAGTGGCGTTTCCTGAGCCCCTCCACCCCTCCTGCAGGACCCCAGTTTCTCTGGGTTTCCGGTTTGCTCTGCAGAGCGCAGGATTCAGGCAGAGAGTTGTACCTGGAGCCCGAGTGGGTGCTCAGGTGAGGAACGCTAAGAGAACCTCCTCGCCTTTGTATTCTACTTCACAAACTGCACAGAACTTGAAGGAGCTGGGCAGTTGTGGCTCTTGACATTCTTCGGTTTAACCAAAAAGCTTGCAACTGCTTTATGTAGAGCAAACAGGACCCTTAGCTGTATGATTTTCTCCAGGCTTAGTTTAAAACATTGCGGATGTTGAATCAGATTTGCTTTCCTGTGCTTAATTTCTTTAAGTGTATGATTTTTTGGTTTGTTTTGTTTTTTGAGACAAGATCTCGCTGTGTAGTTCAGGCAGGCCTTGAACTTGAGACGATCCTTCTGCCTCAGCCTCGTGAGTGCTGGGATTGATTATGTGTGTGCATCTCCGCGCTTAGACACCTGGCTTAGTTTTCTAATTTAAGAAATTAAGTTTAACTTCTTTCCATTCTTCCCCCTTCTTTTTCCTCAGCTATCCAATTTCTTCCACTATCCAGGGCTAAAAAGTTTGACGTTACTAAGTTTGCACCAGAAATTCTCCTATCCTGCGTTCATTTTTCTCCTCAACCCTTGTCTGTACTGCCTTCCTTGCTTTTACTCTTGTTTCTTTCACTTTGTTTTGGTTTTTAGACAGTTACTTTGTAGCCCGGATTGGCCTGTGACACTTACTCTTCCTGTCTCAGCTTCAGTGCTGAAATAACAGGGATGGCCGCCTGGCCTGGGTTTTTCTTCTTTTTCCATTTCTCTTCTGTTTTGTGGTGCTAGATTTTACACAAACCCAGGACTTCACACGTCGCTGAGCTATGACTTAATTTAGTTTGTTGTTTGTCTTTCTGAGATGGGCTCTTTCTGTGTGGCTCAGGCTGGCCTTGAGCTTGTGATGATCTTGCAGCTCAGTGTTCCAAGGCTGTGGGATGCACCACCATACCTGACTTGCCTTTAGTCTGTTGCTCCCTGTCTTCCTGACTTAGGGCCTCCTTGTCACCCCTCTCACAGTCTAAACTCCTCAGACCTACGGAGCACTGGTGAGCACAGCCCCATCTGATGGTCCTAATTCTCGATTTTAGCAGCTGTGAGCTTAGCCTGCACCGTGTCTGGACTGTGCCTTTGCCTGGTGTGTCCCCCGCCCCCTTCCAGCCTTCTTTCTTTAGGACACCCCAAGCATGGAAAGTACTTCCTTTGCTTTGCAGAAAAGCCCCACCCTTCCTACTATTCCCTTCAATTCCTGCTCTCTTGCTGTGGCTGCCACAAGTGTAGCTGAAGCTGATTGGAAGAGGTGTGTCTTAGGGTAGTTTGATTGTCTGTCACCTGCCAGGTTATCTTCTCAACCGTATTACTCATAATCCAACCCTCCTGCTTACAAGAAATCCTCTTTCCCCTCTTTCTTCTTTGAGACTCATGGGGAAGGGTTGAGTGCCACACTGAAGGGCTTTTTTGTTCTTGATTCATTTGGGAATTTGTTTTACTTTTTTTTTTTTTTCTGGTACCGGGAATTGAACTCATGACCTTGTGCTTGCCAGGCAGGTGCTGTGCCACTGAGCTAAATCCCCAGCCCCTGTTTTACTTTTTTGGAGGAAGAGGAAACCATGAACTTAATTTAAAAAATTAAGAACAGGAGAACAAACAATTCAGCATCACAAATATTTTAAGTTAAATTGTGGAGAAGCAGGCTTGGGGGGAAAATTTATTTAATTTAGTTTGTTTTTTTTTGGAGACAGGGTCTCACTATGTAGTTCAGGCTGGCCTTAAAGCCTCTATGTGGCTCATCGTGGACTTGAACTAGTGGCAAATCCTCCTGCCTCAGCCTCCTGCATGGTTGGGATTACAGGCAGGCGCCACCATGCCTGTCTGGCCCAAGAAGAGTTTTTAAACTGTGTAGTGTTATCTCTGATCAGAGTAAGATGAGGTCAGCTGTTCTGTGCCTTATTAAGTGTATTATTTTGTTTCTTTTTTAGTGTGGTCCTGAGGCTCTAACCCATCACCCACATCCCTGCTACTTTGTTTTCTTTTAAAATGTTAATCTACTGCCCTTTGTAATTGACAGAATGCAGCAAGCTCCTTTACTGCTGAGAGGCAGGTTGGAAGCTGCTGGCCAGAACTGATGAGCAGGGGGAGGTGCTGGAAAAAAGCACAGGCAGCGTCCCCTTTTGTGAAAGGGGGCATTTATTGGAGGGAGCAGTGGCTACCTGGTGGTCCAGACCTGGGGCTCTGAAAGCAGAGGCCAGAAAACATATGCGCCCCATGGAGGAAATGTGTGGGTCTCCCAGAGAAAGAGAAGGGCTGCAGGACCCAAGTGTCAGGTGAAGGCCATTGGGCCTTATGCCACAGGAGTCAGTCAGTGAAGCTTTTGAGAGGAAAACAGTTTGCCTGAAACTCTGGATAGGATAATTTGGAGACCAGAAGACCCCTCAGTAGAAGGAATGTTGTTGCAGGTTTGAGTTCGACATGGATAGGGTGGGGTGGCAAGATTTTGTTTGTTTCTGAGACAGGCTTTCCCTGTGTAGTCCAGGCTGGTCTCAAACTCACAGTGATCCTCCTGCCTCAGTCTCTGGAGTGCTGGGATGACTGGTGTGCGCCTCTATGCAAGGCAGTGGCAAGACCGAGGGACTTAGAACTGAGTGGTTGTAGGAATTTAGTGGAGGGCTTCAAACTCAGGGGGCAGGAAGGTTGATTGCTACATTGCTTGGCCTGTTGATTGAGGGGCCAGCAGGGAGTTGCCATTTAAGGAACATTTCTCACTTGCTGTGAAATGCCCTTTCTGTTGACCTTTCACCTCAAAGAGCGATCGGCCTGGTAGAAATCAGCAGTGAGCAAGGGTCCTTGTTTCCGTGCTGATGGGAATTAAAACTGAAGCATGAAAGTTCACAAATTTACAGGCAAAAGCTTTCATTGGAAAGGAAGAGAAAATGACAAGAGATCCAGCTGGCCACCTCAGAAAAGAAAGTAAGAGTACACAAGGAAAAGCCTTCCTGGTGAGGGACCAGAGAAAACAGGTGTGAAGGGGTGGCCCGAAGTACTGAGCACTGAGGCCCTGAGCATGCTGTGGGTACCAGTCTTCCAGGGCACTGCAGTGGCTGGGGTCTGGTTGATCATTGCCTCAGTCCTGGTTGGAATTCTGTGGCTCAAGAGCAGTTGGCTTTCCTAGAGAGGCTTGTCCTAGCTTGTCAGCTTGATCTCTTCTTGGGTTGGCTGTGAAGGACAGTGACTGAGACTTTCGGCATTGCTTCAGGGGCTCTGGGACTGTAAGTTTGTAAAAGCTTGTAACTGAGTGTCTCTGAAATCCTGTCCTCAGTCTTGAAGGGGTGAGGCAGTCTAGGTGAATCTTGAGTAACAAACCTTGTGAAACAGACTCCCTGAGTGGTTAGCCCAGTAGTAAAAGAGACAACAAGTGAAGCCAGAGATGCCAGGCTTCATCTTGCTTTTAGTTGTGGATCTGCAGTCCCTAATTCTTAATCCCTGAGTACCTCACAAGAAAACACAAATCATGCAGTTTTTTTTTTTTTTTTTTTGTAATTGTATTATAGTATGGGGATTGGGAACTGAACCCAGGGAATTCATACTGGACTATATTCCCAACCCCTTACCCCCTTTTTAAATTATTTTGAGCCAAGTTTCACTA